CAATCTTTTTTTTTCTTCTTTTTTTTTTTGGATGTTAGAATAACATATAGCACAAGGGATTTGTCGAACCGGGTTTACGCATCGGATGAAGCTAGAGATTGGGCTGTAAAGAAAGCCGAGGAAACGGAATCGACTCTAGGGTCTGATTACCCTACACTTGTGAGATCAATGCTTCCCTCCCATGTTAGTGGAGGCTTTTGGCTGGTAAAAATAAAAATGCATCACCATCTTTTTATTTTATTTTCTAATTTATTACAAGTTTTATACTATGAAGATGTCGAATTAAAAAAAAAAAAAAACCCGTAAAACGAGACCATTATCGACCCAACACGGAAAATTCTTGGAAAACGAACTTCAACTCTGTTTTTCTCTGTTTTTTTTTATCAGTATCTGAGAAATGCAAATTCTGGGATTTGTGAATTATAAATGCAGGGCCTTCCGTCTCATTTCTGCAAGAAGAAACTTCCGAGGACAGATGGCGTAGTTTCATTGGTCGACGAGCAAGGAGAAGAATGGCCCGTAAATTATTTGGCTCGGAAAAACGGACTAAGTGGTGGTTGGAAGAAATTCTCTATTGATCATGGCTTGGTAGATGGCGATGCACTGATTTTCCAGTTAATCCGACCGACCGTATTAAAAGTACGACTTCGTTTTCCAATATTTATTCTGAATTAATTTTTTTATTTATTTAAAGTTTTTTTTTTTGGTTATATTTATCAGGTGTTCATTACAAGGGTGGATGGTTCTGGAAAGACCGAGACCAATAAGACGAACAAGGTTGAAGAATCCATCGAACATTAAAATTCCGAGAGGTAAAATTATTGGTTTTGATGGGATTTTCCATATTGTCGATTAGTCCTTATCGAATAATCGAACTTCCGATTTCCATCTACGAACTTAACTCATATATATCATATCTTCAAGAAAATCTGCTAACTTGCAATTATTTTGCATTGGACTGATCTCTTTCGACGCTTGATGTTTTTTCGTTTTCGTTTTATTTTGACAGGTGGGAATTGCTATTTATCGATCTCGTCATTTGCTAATCGAGTAACATATTTTTGAAGGTTGGAAAAATAGAAGTATCTTTTGTAGTTAGGACAAGATCAAATGTTCTGTACATGTAATTAATTAAGGTGGGGAGAGAGACTCAAGGCATGATTGGTTGGGATATTAGCTTAACTTAATTAATGATTTTAGTGTTAGAACTTATGATTATCTATTTGGCCTTGTACTATGAGATCTTTTTGCATCAATCTCCACCGAAAACGGTACCGATTTTCTACCGAAAAAATTCTATCGGACGGTACTTGCTAGAGAAATATAGCTAAACTGGTTCAATATATCATTTTGTAGTTTATTAAATAATTGAAGATTATATTTAGTATGAGAAGATTTCATATGAACTTCAGTCGAAAAGGTGTTGGTAAGGGGATTTGAACTCGGGTCATTAGACAAGATATAGGATTTCTTATGCAATATGAACTTTGTCTATTCATTGAAAAAAAAGAAAAATAACTACATTTAGCAAATGCCTAAATTGATAATTACTGGGGTAAATTTCGGCCACCGCCTGAGAAAATGTCAAATTATGAAGAAAAAAAAAATTATCATATTTGGGTATTACAACCACTGCCTCCAACTATAAATCTTCTTACACGTCCATCCTTGTTGTGTCAAATTTTTTGGAATCTTCTAAATTATGTGGAATATTCTCCAGTTTGTACTCGTTTTACATTATTCGAGCTCCATATTTTGAAACAGAATGATCATAAGATGTGTCACTTGGCTTGTAAATATCAGATTCTGGTGCATCAGAAATTGCATTTTTGCACAAAACGAGTACAAATTAGCTAAGACAACATTCCACGGAATCTAGTTGACACCATAAGGGTGGACGTGTAAGAAAATTCATAGTTGAGAGAGTGGTTTTAATTACCCAAATATAATGAGTTTTTTCGTAATTTGATCTTACCTTAGGAGATGACCGTAATTTACCCTAATTATTATCGAAAATATTTATCTCAAATGACATGAAAGAAAATGTCAAATGATGAATGTGCTTCTTATTTTTCCCATTTTTTTTCCTGGGGAAATAGGTAGCTTGATATCTATTTGACCTTAGCTGTCTGAAAGTAACTTGATCATATTGATAGCCAGTTTGTTATATATATATATATATATATATATATATATATATATTAAGTATATATATATATATATAAAAGTTGTGGCTAAGTGGACCCCACAAACCAAATTGTATGTTTACATAAAAACTATATGTTACTTGTGAGTAAACATTAAACAAAGTCATTTAAGATAGCACTTAATTTGTTCACATATGGTCATACATACATACTATTACTAGCTATGTTCACAAAACATATTGCACCTATATAACAAATGATGTCCTATGAAATGTCAACTAGCTAGAATTATTTGTATAAAAAAATAAATGTTAGTTAAATAATTGTATTTTCTTTATTTAATCATGCTTAATTATGATTGAGCCATAGTACTAAAGTCAAACTCGATTTAAATTACTTGGGCTGGAAATCAAATCAAACTACTCGATTCGAGATTGATCGTTAAAAGTTCGTTTGAGCTGAGTTCGTGTTCATAATGACCCAAACTTGAGCACAATTGTTGTTTGATAAATTATGAAAAGGTCGGCTCTAGCTCATTCTTGATTAGAAAGAAAAGACTAATAATATATATATATATATATATATATATATATATATATATATAAAATATTAAACTGCTCGATCTCGATTCGTCTTTGGTTTGATTATATATCAAATAAAAAAATAGAATTAGGACTATATGTCAAATAAATGAAGAATTAGGAGTATTCTAATGAAATGTAGTACTCAATGCAATTTAAATGATTGATAATTGGTGACCTAAAATTTAACATTGTAGACTTGGTAATATTTTCAAGTCGTGTTTGAATTATTCAACTCGTTTTATCGGACAAATAAATAAAAGATATTAATTAAAATCATTGATCTCAATATGTATTTTGCGCCAAATTTTTCTACACAAAATATAAATCAATCTTTGATGTGATAGGTTCATTGAACTAAGGCAATTAAAAACATGATAGATTTTCTAACAACGTGTTTAAATATATTTATTCCCAAAATTATTAACAATATTGGGAAGGAAAAAAAAACTTTATCATGGCAAAAACAAGACCTCAAAATTAATAATTTTCTACAGATTCTTATTAAAGTAGATATATAAAAAGAAGAATAGGAAATAGGGATTAGAAAATTAAATTAACCCGTGAAATAAGATCCCGCTTGCACTTTCGGAAAAAAAAAATTTGAAAGTGAAAAAGTAGCACGAATTACGTCCCGAAACAGTTAAAAGATAGGAAAATAATTGTTCCATAATAAAAAGAAAAAAAATGGATCGCAATAGGTGGAATTCGTCGAAACTTTATATTTTTAATCAATCTATAATATAACATTGTTGTTTGATATTATAAGTGTAATTTTCGAGAACTGAAATCTCGTATGAAATTTGGAACCTTCCATTATGAGTAATTAATTTTTCTTTTCAAAATCAGCAAATATCGATTCGTTTCGAGTCTTCAACTTTTCGATTAAATCTTAGGATGCATAGAAATTTTATACGATTCAAAAAAGACATCTTATGACTCTCAAAAAAAAAAAAAAAAAAAAGACATCTTATTTTTTTATATTGAACCTAAATTTAACATCATATTTGAGACAAAAAACAAATTAAATAGGATTTTTTTTTTCTTATCTATAAATAAGAAAACAACTGAATTGAATTATAATCTTAAATTATGGATTTTGAAGGACCACGCGCGTGTGATTCGCCGCGGATTCCGGGAGGCAATAGTCGTCTACAAACTATAAGTCAAACATTTGCTGTCATCCAATTTAATCACTTTATTTCCTAATTTATGAATAACACTTATTAATACTAATTAAGTACTAATTAATAATAGCTTAATTCCACTCCGCACCCTTAAAGTATATCATTTTGAGCATTTTACACCTTTAAAAAAATTAATACCATTTTGCATCCTCGAAACGCAGTAAATCATCCACAATGCATCTTGAATTGAATTTTTACAACTCATTTTTTTATTGGTTTTTTCCTGTAAAATAACAAATTAAATTGGTATTTCCTTCTACCCTCCAACCTAATTGAAGC